AAAACTGTAAAAAGTAAAGTAATATCTAAAACCAAATATGAGTATGTAAGCTTTTTTTCATTTTGTTAACTAAAGAGTACCCAAGTTGCAACTCCTATTTAGCGGTTAATTTATATTATGTGTTTTAACTATGCATTTTTATTTATACAAATTACAACTTGTGTAAACAACTTTTACTTATATTAAATAGGAAAACGAAGTAATTAAGTATTTAATTAAATTTTTAATGTTTTACGTTATATATACTAAAATAGAATATACGATATCAATTTTGCAACTATTAAAATGAATCAAGGAATTTTTTATTTTTTATTTGAAGTTAGAACATTGTTGGTCGTTTGCCGCTATGAGTGAAGTTTATAGGTACATTTTGCTGTATATTTTTATTTATTTATTTTTTTTTTTTTTTAATTTTTTGACTAAGTACTGCTGTTGTTTCTGTTGAAAAAGTTAATGAAAATATTTATTATATTAAACGAAATCAGTGTAAAAGGAAATAAAATCAATTGTATGTGAAGATATACAACCAGTTTTGAGAAAGGGAGAGCTTAGCTTTCTGGGGTGACAAAATATGGATTGAAACGCGTTATAAACATTTTCTTTAAAAATAAAAATTATGTAAAAAATCGGAAGTTAAATAGAAGCTAATTAAGAAATGCTATTAAAATAAAAATTTTTTAATTAAGCTTTTAAATTAATTTCCCTTTTCACTTTTAATTTTATTGTAAATTTTAATGAAAATAGAGTTTAATGGTAATTTATGAAATCAAATACTTTTAAAAATTTAATAGTATAAAAATTAAAATCTTGCAAATGCATGTACAAAAAATAAACACAAAAAAAATATAAAAATATATTAAAATATTTACAAAAAAAAAAACCATATGTAAACAGTTGTAAAACAAGCTTGATAAAATGTCTGTATATATATACATATATAATGAAATATATACATAGTACTATTTTTAATAAATATGTTTATGTCAGAGCAAAATATAATAACAAGAAAGTAATTCTGTAAAAACAAAAACAAAAAAAAAACAAGAAAACAAATTAATGTATAAATAAATTAAGCAACTAATATAGTGTTTCTAATTACAAAAATATTTGAATATGAAATAGCTTTGAGCTATTTACAAATTTTATAAGATAAATTATTAATTGTTAAAGATGTTAATTTTATTTTTTTTATATATTTTAAAGGCATAATATTGTTGTATGTAATGTAAATTTTAAAAATTTGATAAGAGCTCAGTGGATAGAGGAAATGAAAGGTTTGTTTATTTAATATTAAATATACACACTTACATAATGTACAATAAAAAATACATAGAACACGCCCAAACATACATAAACATAATTTTACTTATTACTTAAAATACACTTATACACATTTATACATACATTTATTAATATAATATTTTTCATTAGAAGTTATATTTAGATGTTCATTTAATTCTATAATTTACTGTAACATAACTTAGTATAGCAGTTTATAACTGCTTAGACTATACAAAATAATTTAAAAATAAATTCTAACAAAAAAGATCAATTAAATAAATGTTATTGTTTTATTTTATTTTATTAATCCAGCATTTGGTATTATTTAAAATAGGAATTTTTGAAATCTTAAAAATAAAAATCGTTTTTATAAAAATGGTGTATAACAGAACGAACGTTATATAGTCCAATTCTACAAACGATTATGCAAAGAAAAGGTTCGACCAATGAAGACTTCGAGTTAAAGAATTTTTTTGCAATTGCAAATAATTTGCTCTCTAAAACCTGTTGCACTCCATTCAGTTTGAGTTATAGAAAATTCGAGTTATGGAGTTAGGTTGGAGTGTTGGCCTTGTTTACAAAAAGCCCACTTGAGTTCAAATAATGGCCCATTGTGATACCACAACGGGAAGTTATGGAAGTTTGACTATATATTCAAAAACAACCACAATTTGTCTTAAGAATTCTATCTAAAATTGGTATAAATGACATGGGCATTAGTGAATGCGAACAAATAAAAAAGTGATGCGCCCCAATATGCTATAATTCTTATACTGAACGGATCATCTATATTTAAAAACTGATCGTTAGCTACTTTACTTAAGTTTAAAACCATTTAATACAGCAAAAGCATAACATATTTTCTTCTATTCACGTAGCTCAATTTATCGTAACAGTTGATCCCAGAAGTTCAGCATTTATAACACCGCTTCAGGGGAAGACGTCATACTTGCCTGGTTGTTGTTAAGCATGCTACGATCTCGCTTTCGTCAAGAAATGGCGAATCTTTTGTTAGCAAGCATTTTAACGTGGCGAAGTTAATACTACGGTTTAGAATTAAAACGATAAAGTTTGTAAGTGAGCTGAAATCTTTGCTTTTTGTTGGTGTGTTTCTTTCGAAAATGAACTACGCTTTAATTGGACTGACACAGTTAACGTTACAAGTGGAAAAACACTGAATTTCAAGGATCATAATACTATAATAAGCAGTGAAAATAAGATGGGTATTCTTATACGTGGATCAGCATCAAGTTTTAATATTATCTTTCTATGTATGTAAATTTGTTAAATTTTGAATTTCTAATTGCTAAACACTATTAGGTATTTAAGGTAATTAAAATGGGTTGTCACATATGAAATCTATGCTTACTATGTACTCTTGGGACGCCCATTTATCTGAGATTGTGTTGTTAATGCTTTATAAGATAGGAACCTTTAGATACATAGAACGTGAAGTTTTGATATAATTCAAAAGTACTACAACTTGCAGGACATAGAATCCTTGGATGGTATACCAGAGCTTTGAACCGGAACCGAACCGAAAACCGAAAAAAATCGATATTATTGTCGCAGCGAAAACCCAAAGCGAATCGATATATTTTTTTGTTTTGAACCGGAACGGCAAAGATTTCGGTTTGAAGCCCTGGTTATTACATCTTATTTACCCTAAAAAAGTATAAGTATTAAGGCGAAGAATATGAATTCATTGAATAAACTCTTTATGTTATGTTAATTCTACTTTAATGCATGTTAATTTTAAAGTAAACTTCCTTCACTTACGCATGCAGCCAAAGCTTAATTAAATTGGAATAATATTTACTAAATACACACATATGAATAAACAGGAGCCAAAGCGCTAATTACATCACTAAAAATAAGGAAGAAACAGTCAAAGTGTGAGCTAACAGCACTAAAAATATTATAAAGCTAATAATATCAATACTATTGAGTTGATCTTAATAAAAAAGTGGGTTTTTATTTGGTTCTTACCTCAATTAATTATTATTTCTTTAGATGCTGCGATTTGAGAATTCTTAAGACCAAGATCTTGAACGTCGTTCTCTTGGAAAAAGATCAGATTACTTAGAATTTTAAGTACGTAATTCGTCCGTGTGTTATTGCAGAATCCGTGGTTCCGTTATTTACAGACTTATCCCCCCGACTGAATATGATTCACCATATATGTATTAAGATACGTACATATACGAAGTTTCAGAAGATGATTGCGAAGCTTTGTTTTTCAAAACAAACACATACATGTATACTATGGCTCTATTTTGGAAAGCAATATTGCAGTAAATTTGGTTACCACAAACTATTTCAAGTAAATATTTGTTTATTTGTTGTTGACGTTGACATTCGATGGTACCAAAACATCTGCTGGGTCAACCAATCAAATATCATTAAATGCTATGGGCAATCACACCAATTGCCAGTATAAGAGATATACTAAGTCTTCAAAATGCTGAATTAAGTAGAATTTTGCATTATATAAAAAATATTGTTAACATATGTTGTGTGTGATTATTCAGAATTTGCGCTCCCCCATTAGGTTTTATATTTTCTTTGGCGCCGAAGCAAACAGATGTATACTTGGGTGTGTTAAAGTTGGTTGAGTTTAAATATTTCTGCTTATATGAATTGTTTTAAGAATATTTTACTAAAATAAAACAAATCAAAAAAAATGATGGTATGTGATTTATCTTCGTTTGTAGCGTCTATGATACCTATAGAATATTATATACTTATAGATATCAATAATTTTTCTGCTATTTCTAATGTATATCCTTTACGGGCCGTATATGATATATGCTGGGTTACTTAACAATACTATACCAAAGGTGGAAGTCACTCAGGAACAACAACTTGATGCTATAAATCTTCCAAATATATTCCAACATAAGTTAGACACATTTACGAATGCATTAAACCAAATCGATGCTTCTGTACAGGCCTTACAAGAAAAAGCACATAACTGGGCAATTTTTCGTCACCATATTGATGCTTGGAACGAGCAGCTTAAATCATTTGAACATAAATTGGATTTGATAAAACGCAGTCAAGAGGAACAACAAAATTTGTCAAACAAATTAACAAGTCTAGAGTTTACACTCAATCACATACTCAGTAAAGTTGTGTTTTTAAGTGATACTTGCAATACAAAACTCCTAAGAGCAGATAACTATCATGACTTCAAGGATCAATCAAATTTTTTTGAAAATCTGCAAACTTCCTTAAACGCCGATAATCGATTAAAGAGTGATATTTCATTACGTTTAAACAATATTTTGCGTCATGTCCAAAATATTGAAAATGATAATTGTCATTCCAATTTAAGAGTCAAACAATTCAAAAAAGCTTCAACAGATAAAGTTGCAGACATAAATGGTAATTACACTAATGGTATGCAGCGTTCAAATTGGGAACGTTCCTTGAAAAGATTAGAACAGAATATTGAAGCAATATCAACACATATGTCACAAAAAGATTTTAAGCAATTCCAAGCACTCACAAGGAAGAATGCCAAGACCTTGGAACAAATTTTGGCATATGTCAACTCTTCAGAAGATCGTTTTGAGGAATGGAAACAAAAGAACACAAAGAGTATGAACCAATTAACTAAGAACTGTTGTTCCATATCCAGTGAGTTGAGCACATTTACTGAAAGCTCTGATTTGTTACTTAAACGCATCGAAGCAATAGTGGATGAAATTAAGAATAATATAAAAAGTCATACACATATAAAGTTCCCAAAATCTAAACCATCTGCAACTACGGATGATGATTCCCATGAACCTGAAGAAAATGAGAACCAAGACGAAGATTGGACAACAGAAGGTAACTCATATCTTAATTACAAATACATATATGAATAGAATATGTATTATAACAGAAACTGACGACGGTGACTACACGGGGCAGGAAGGAAATGAAGAGAACCACGTCCAACACGAATATAACGAGGAAGATGAAGTCACATTAACAACTAGAGAGGATGATTATGTTATTAAAGCGGAACAGAAGATAGAAAGTAGTGAATTTAAAGGTAACTTAAAAAAAAAAAATAATTAAAGTATAATATTTTATATTGCAACTAATATATGGGATGTAACCAGATTTGAACCTCTGATGTACGCTTAATATAGATTGTCAAGTCAAACTTTGTTTTTTATATTTAAATTATTTACTGGCAAAATCGCCAAACATTGAGTTGAGAAATTTACACAAGCCTTATTGTTCTTTTGTGTGCTTATCTATTTTTCTGAAAACATTTCTATTTTTTAGTTGAAGAAATGAAACATATCTGTAAATAGACTATTTGTCTGAGTGGATAATGTATGTTTAATATAGATTGTCAAGGGAATGTTTGACTTGTAGTTCATATTAAATTAATTAATTGGAAAAACCAACAGACATTGAGTTAACGAATTCATACAAGATAATATATGAACTTTTGTATCTATTTTAAAAAAATTCTTTTTTTGAAAATATCTGAAAATAGACTATTTGCCAAAATGGATAAAATCGTTCGATTTATAACATATAAAAACAAACTAATATAATCAGCTTTATTGTAAATAATATGTGCAGTAGACACAAATGCATTTTTAGAGGGTTCATCTTTACATGAACATGTTGAGTATATGAATTACTTAACAATAATTGCATCAATATCGAAATCAGGATTGGTTACCTATCAGGATACCGCAACTTTCGCGACCATCTCAACAAGTTGGGTTTGTCGGAGATAACAGATACAAGTCTCTGCTTAAAAAAGAAAGGAGAGTCTATTTACATCCCTTGTGACTGATTAAGTTTGATATTGGTCAAATGGAGATTTACAGAATATCAGAAAGATATCCAAAAAATCATCTGAATTTTTAAAAAGTGATATTTAATTTGTAATTTGAAAAAATCTTTTTTTAATATTGTGAGTTTTTTGATGAAAGATTTTTGGAGAGATTTTTTATAACTCACTGTATCATGCATTTTTGTCAAATATATTGAAACACCCAGTATATACATTCAATATCTCTATTGATAAATGCACATTTTTATTTTCTATATATATATGTCTATTTATATTCAAATTTCTATTAATGTATCAATAAATATTAAAAGCTATAATCTGGTCGTAGATTCTAATGACAGATTGTAAGGTTAGCTTAGGTTATACCGGCGATACTAAGGACTACTTAGGTTAATGTCTCATTGTGTTGACGTATAAAAACTCATAAAATAAGGAGAAATATAAAAAATTTACCATATTTAGTTTAGTACACATATTTTAAACATATTCTTAAACATATAAAATTTATGAATTTTTTTTTCTCGTTTTTTATTAACATTAGGTTTTATACAGCCGGACAAATACAGTTGTGATCAATTGACAGAACCAGTTGATGGTGTATATCAATTCGCAACAGTTGACTCAAATAAAAATGGACGTAATTTTAACAAACGTTTTTGTTACTTTGCAACAGATGGTAGGGCATGGACCGTAATACAGGTAATGAAAGTAGAGTTCATTAAACTGTGAAATTTGCATATATAAATAAGAAAATTATCCTTTCATTAGAATCGTGTTTCTTATGATAATTCAGAAAATTTTAATCGATCTTGGGTTGATTATCGAGCTGGTTTCGGCAGCTTATTTGGGAACTTCTGGTTTGGTAATGAATTTATATACCGCCTGTGTGATTCTTGTGATTGTGAATTACGTATAGAAATTGAGGACTTTAAGAATGATAATATATGGGCAGAATTAAAAAAGTTTATTTTACAAAGTGAAGATTCACACTATAGACTTGTCATTAGTGGCTATAATGGTACTTATAGTAAATTGGGTAATGAATTATTCGAATATGAAAATAATGAATTCCAAACATATGATCGTTGCAACAATGGAACTCCAAATGAATGTTGTTCCTGTGCAATTGTCTATGGAATTGGTTGGTGGTTTGATAAGTAAGTATTGAATATGTTTTTACAACATTATATTGTAATTATATTGTAAATTAATTATTTAATACTATAATAACTATTATTTACTCACTTTGCTTAATAGTTGTTGTCAACCAAATATAATGGAAGTTCCTCGTATTTTTTCGCAGAAGAAAATGAGAATGATGATACGTCCAAAATATTGAAATATCAGAACTATCAGAAATACCTCAATTTTAAATAATAAAAGTAAAATTATTTTGTTGAACAATGATATAATGGTATAATATATAATGGCATAAATCACTATTAATATATTTTAAAATATTATTTTCACACAATTAAATTATAATCACATTAAACAATAAATTGCTTTAATAAATTATTGAATATAAAACCGATTTATATTAATGATATTTATTTATTTTTTAAATTTTGTTGTTAATAAATTGTTGACTGACTTTGAACAACGATCTGCCAACAAATTATAGAACAAAACAAATCTATTTGCTTTAACCCTTCTGTGGCATGCCAGTCACTTCAACACACGCGACATATGAATAAACTTCATTTTAATAATAAAAAACTAATTCGAAATAATAATTTAGCTCCAACAATCACTGAAGAATTGAATCTTTAAAATAACAAAAGCGGACTAACACTGAACAGCTGATTCCTTGATTTACCGAATCTGTATAGGAATCGTGTTTAACTGTCAAAACAATTTAAAAGTTGTCAATTATAATTTTTATTAAATTTTGCAAATATTTAATCTGATGACATTTATTACAAAAAAATAATGTTAAATATGTCATTTCCAATGTAAATAATATCACATTGTATATTATATTGCAGTTTTCAATGGATGAATTATTAATTAAATATTTTGTAGATTTTAACAATATTGACCAGATACTAACCAGTTGCGTTGACCAACTCAATACATTTCTTATATTGGCAATGGTCTCTGTCATGTGTGCAATGAGTGCTGCTCAGCTTCTTGCTTTGCGTATATTACCAATTTTGTTATTGAGTGATATAGTGATTACCTTGGAAAATAGTGGGTTCTTTCTTTTGGTTTCGAAAGAATAACTTTGGCAAATAGTCACTGCATGAGTGTTGTTATTGTTACAATTCATATTGAGAATTTAAACATCTGAGAAGACAATCACATTTCGGAGATGTTAACCCGACTTTCCTGAAAAAAAAACTGTAACTTTCCAATTGTATTTGCACTGACCAGTAATTTTTAACGTACCTCAAAAATTGTACCAAAAGATTCATCTACATGGACTTTGTTTAATTGCATTTTAAAATTGATGTGCGCTATGAGCTGAAAGTAGTCGCAATACCAAAACACATTTACCAGATAATACTACAAATCACATATACCTATGTACGAGTATCTATAGCTTGACTGAATACTAACAATAATTTTTTTGTAGCATTTAAATGCACTTAATAAAAAGCATAAAATTGGTCTTTAACTCTTAATAAGTCAAAAGTTTCATTACTATTATCTTAAAGGAAAACAAAATAGATTTTTTTTCTATATATATTTTAGTTCTTTATTATATCTTATTATTAAATAAGAACTCTTAATTAATTGAAGTAGTAATTTAACAGTGTCATGTAATTATATCAGTTTACAACTAAAGACGGTGATTGGAAGCAAAACCAGACATACTAGGACGGTAGGGTCACCGACCTCATATTAATTAAAGTAATAAACTTTAATTAATAAACTTTAATTAATATAATCTAAATACATTTTATACACATTTATTTCAATAGTAATCAATACTTATGTATATACTCCCATTTGCTAGTTTTATATAATCAATAAGTGGCCACTTCTAAAGATACAAGATATTTCAGAATTTAGAATAATATAATAACACATTTGTAAGTAATATCAAGATAAAAGTTTTAGGAAAAATATGTTTAATGCAAGTGTTCGACATCGACACTGCGACATCAATTCGCTGTACCCTCTTTATGCATACTGTCTATACCCTCTGTCTAAAAATAAAAAAATAAATATATATATATGATCAATTTATTTAAATAATAAAATTATACTTACATTCATACGATGATACAATGCCTAAATTGAATGTACATCAGTGATTCATATGTCCATAACGTATCCACTTTGTCATATTTCAAGTTAGTTATATTCTTAATTTAATTAAAATCATTATTACAAATAATCAATAAATAACTTTTAGTTATTGTATTTCAAATCATAATTTGAAATCATTCATTGATTATTGTTGCAGTATTTGCAACAGCCAAATTTATTTAGTTTATCGTTGGCTTAATGCAAACAACCAACGATATATTAGTTATGTTATGAATCGGCTTTTACAATAAATTACCGTAGTTTTTAATCACAATGGGGTCATAGATACTATATAAATCATTTAAGTAGGAGTAGCACTGGCTTCTATACCATTTTCCATGTGCTATCGATCAATAAAACCCATTAATTCGCAATATGTTTGGTTTACATAAATTCTTAGTTTCTATTTATTATTAAATCAAACTCTACACTATATGCACTTAAAAACAATAAGGCGACATATAAATGATTAGTGATTTAAATGGGAATTTAAAATCAATTTTCAAATATATACATATGTATAAATAATGGATAACACATTATGTATTATAATATAATATACAAAATTAATGTTAACATACATATAATATTCATAATTATTTACTTTCAATAACTATCAAATTGATTTAATTTAATTTTATATGTGATAATTATTATATTCAAATATAAAAGATTTAATTAAACTTAATTATATAAAAATGAGTACATATTATAAAATTTTTGTTATTATATACATTCAGTCTCAATACTAATTTATAATAGTCAGTAATATTTCGTAAAAAATTTAATTTAAAATAAAATTAAAATTATCTTTAAACATCAATTTTATTAAACTCAAATACTCTGGAACAAAATAGAAATTTTTAACTGATGCAGCGCAATCAGTGACATGACAAATGATT